TTCTTGCTGCATAAAATGAGAGTATCATCATACCTTAGAACTTTTTCATTTTGTAATGCTTGATTGAACCTTTCCATATTTGAATTTTCAGTCTTTAGTTTTTCTTGATTTTATTTTACAATACCAAACCTCTTTTAAAATCTCAGTCCATAAGATCATACTTAAACAGTAATAGATTTATTTAGTCAGTGTTTCCAGGTGTGAAGAGTGTTGCTCATATTCCTATGGCTCTTTTAAAAAAGTATTGGATCAGACTTTTTCTATACCTCTGTTTTGCAATGCATTATTAAAAAAAATCCCTAATCTAAATTGGTTTGTGGTTTGGACAACTATTTTGACAAATATTTGCAAAGGAGATGCTTAGTAATGTTGCAATTCTTGGCAGATTGACTTGACTACTTGTCTTTTCAGGTTTCTTTTTTTTTTTTTTTCCCAGAAATGAGACAAGCACGATGTGTAATCCTTGCTTGGAATACAGGGGAAATGTTTGTTTATAAAAGGAGAAAAATTAAAAGTTTTGTGCATTAAAGTTCTTAAAACATGAACCATTTGAAAAAAAAAATTTCTGGGTATTTTTGTTTTGTTTTTTACCTGAGAGTTATCAAACTGTTGTAATAATCTCCTGAGTTATCTTTTCAATATGTAGAGTGTCAATTTTGTACCTGGAATTCCCCTAAAATTTGGCCTCATTTTAAAGAGGAACAAGAACAGACTAGATAAGAGAAGAGAAGCATCTCCTTAATACTTTGCTTCTGCCACTTCTTTTAAATGCCCTAATAAGACAAACCACATTAAATTGGGTTTAAGAATGATAGGAAGGATCGTGTCCTATGACCAAGTTCCTATATGCTGCATAAGTGCCAGTAGCAGTTAACTGTTCAGGAGAGGACAAAGGCAACCAACTTTATCCAAATTGAGTTCTTTTGGCAAAATGTTCATGATCTCAATTATTTACAGTTTACCAGAACCTCAGAATAATATCATGTGAAAGCAAATGGAGAAAGTAAAGAAGACTGTGGAGGGATTTAAATCTATAGCTTGACTGGGGATCTTTCTGCAAGGTATATTTATTAAAATAGTAGTTGAATACAAACTTAAGTTCTCAAGAGAGAATAATTAAATGTAACAAGCACATGTGGTCCAACTAAGAATAAGACATAATCAGTTTGACTAACCTAATAGTTGTGGCCTTGAAGAAAATCAAGACATAAACAACAAATGAGAGTCCAAATGACCGTGAAACAAGTCAGAGAGTCCCTTTGCATAGGTTTAGGATTTTTTCCTTTTAAATGTCAGAAAATCCTCTAATATCTTATAATTGAAGAATAATCAAAAACAAGTAATTTCTTCAAAAGTAACACATGGAGTTACTCTTTGTAGCAGAGAAATATGATTTAGTTATATTTCTGGTAAATTAATGATTAACAAAGTCATTGTCTATTTTTGTTTACATGCTTCACTATGTCTCATTTTTGATTTTTCAAGAAAGCCCAAACCAGGCCAAGCTTTCACCATCTCTAGTGATAATATAATAAAGATTTTTCATAATGCTTATAAAGAAATAATGAACATTAATCAAGAAGCTAGAATTTACTTGTTTTTCCATTATTGTTGACTTTCATTGTCTCTTTTTTGTATTAATAACAAAATGTATTCTGTTATTAATACAAACATGTCTTAACAATAAATACCTGTTAATTGAAGATTTCGTATGGTTTTGGACATCCTGCTAGCAGAGATAATTAGACAGTTATTTATACATTAATCTTGGATTTAGCTATTAAAACTAAACTCTCCACAGTGTTCGGGTCAAAGAAGCAGATTCCAAAAATTACTTGGAAAATGGCCAAATTAAACCAAGAACCTCACTAAATCTGGTGTCTGGACAGGAATTCAAAGACCTTCACATTCCAATCTCTTTAGATTCTATTTTTCCCTAAATGTTAACCACCAAATAAACCTTAGGTCAAAATGAATCAGTTTTAGGCTGGATTCACATGTACAAGCCTTGCAAAACGATGCACGCTTTGTCTTTTTCAGATTTTGTTTTGCAATAGGACTACAAACTTCCCTGGATATTATTGAGGCTTTTTGTTTAAAAAACCCTGATAAAACAATAAGAAAACCTTTTGCTGTGTCACAGAGTACTTTTTAATCCATTGTGTGAAGGAGTCAAAAGCAATGCACAAGAGCATTCTTACCAAAACATGGCTGGTCATGTAAACTTTCAGGCCGAGCAATGGAAGCAACAGTCAGAGAAGGAGTTAAGCGGGTCGTGGTAAATCTGGAGTATCCAGAGAACTTCACAGCTTAGACACAGAGCTAAACATTAGACTTAAAACTCCAAAAATGATGCATTATGAAACAGAAGGGAAAAGGTGTGAGCAAAAGAAGGACAGCCTAGATCCAAGTTGAACATTTGGGCCTGTTGGGGTGTGACAATAGCAATCAATCCGACTACCGTCCCAGTGACCCATGGCTGTGACAGCGTCATACAGTGAGGATTCTTTTCTTAAAGGGAAAAAAAATTAAGATATATGGTATTACATGCTGGCACTTCCTGATGAGAGCCTTTTAGTGGTCAGCAAATAATTGAGCCTGGGAGAGAGGTATGCCCTTTAGTATGGTTAAGAGCTTAAATGGCTAAGCAACATGTTTAACAAAGCGAAACAAAGTTCCACTCTTTAATCTAACATACACTTGAATTTGATGTTCACAGGCAATATTTATCCAGTTATTCTATTTAGTTAAGAATGCCAGTATATTGATGGAAGGAAGTTATTTTCAGTTTGCATTTTGTGTTATTTTTCTTTTGGTGTGATCTTTACAGTCGTCAAAATGAAACAAAAGAAAACCCCCGTGGTGGGGCAGACACCGACACATACAGTGGTTTTCTTTTTTAACAAGAAACTGATAGTGAGCTAGTCCACATACTCCAACTTCAAACAGTAAAAGAGAAGTGAGTCACCAAAGCAAATCAGTGGTGAACCAGGTGGGGGTGGGTGGTATATTATAAGTCATCAGAGCAGGTTATTAACACCCTATGGAGACTGTTTTGTCTCGTTTGCAGAATGAATCCTAAGTTTCTTGAAAGAGGGCAAAGTCACAACAAAAACTGTCAGAGAGCAAGACAGCTGCGGTTAAACTGATAATCCAGATACAAACAGTGGTACAGTCTGAGACATTCCTGCTCTGTTAATAACATTTAGGAAGTTCAACACAACATGACAAGGCACATCCGGGGAATAAGTAAATATTTCAGATGTTTTGTGTGTGAGTGTGTGTTTCTTTATTAGTGCATAGGAGGAAATAATATAAAAAAAAAAAAAACTATGTTAAAACAAAACAGGCCGTTGATTGAATTTCTTGTTTGAAATCCATATCAAACCCAGCAGACTACAGTCCATGTGTAGAAAATGTATTTCTGTGCTCAAGTCTATGACTGTTCCAAGAAAGGCATAAACTTTTGCAGCAGTGATGTGTTGGAATGAATGAACCTCTGCCAAATCAAAGTGGACTATGGCTTTAAGCAAGGTCAGCAAAGCCTTTATTTCAGGAAGGATAATATAAAAAAGAATCAAGGTGACCTGTTGAAGACGTGTAAGGAATGCAAACTGCTAGATCCCTACTTTTTAATAATTTTCTTCCAACCATTTAACCTGAACTGTCTCACAGAGAAACAAAAAATACTGTCCATTTTGGTCAACATCATTTTAGCCACTTACCTATAAAGGTTTAAAGGGTACTGGTGCCAATTCCATATCTTATTGGGCAAAAGGTGGTGCACACTCTTAAAGTGTTGCCAGCCAGTCAGGGTACAACATAGACAAGGGCTGATTGATCAAACTATACCTTTCTATCTCCTGTCACTTCTCTTTTTGTGAGGTCAACAGTAAGAGCACTATCATTGGTAAGAAAGGAATGCCGGACTGCTTGGCTGATTTCAAATCGCCTTTAGCCTTCTGGACATCATTACGCAATGGAAACACACATGGGTAAAACTTGTCAAACTGGGACCACAGCCTCCTAAAAAAGAACTATAAACACAGGTTACCCAAATGTAACGAGGAGCTTAAGCTCTCCATAAAACCAAAACACACAAAGCTGTAGACATTAACATGTATTGCACAGAGTATATGTGAATAAAAATGATAAAAAAATAATTAAACTGGGCTGTGCGTCTATGTCCTGTCACAAAGGATTGTGGGAAGCCATATATATTCTATGTGCCAGATAGGAACATCAGGTTCTTATGCTCCATAATCTATAGGTAGGACACGTTGTGCTACGGTTTCCTGCCAGCACCATTTAAACAGCATGTCAACCTCTGACAAAGTTCCAGAGCTTAAGTGTCTGATTTGCCCAATTCTTATTGAGCTAGACGCTGTGTTTCAATTGAACCGAGATCCAAATTTTAAGCAAACTTAGGCTTTTTTTTTTTTTCCAAAGTACAAATTTGCAGTGTTTCCATTTGCTTTGAGTGCAAATGAGTTTAATGTTGCAATTTCCAATCAATCTTTGACCCAAAAAAAATGCACATTAGAAAACAAAGTTAACTGTACTTTAGACCTAAAGCCATCTAAAGAAGACCAATTAAAAGAGTGTGGGGTCCTGTAGATAACCTACAGTATGCATGCATTAACGGAAACATCCACACGAAGCAGAAACCTCCTGAATCTGAACATAAGAAAGACAAAGCTAGCCATTGTGTACCTCACTTATTTACCATAATCACCAGATGTCTCTACTACCTTGCAACAGCCTCCGTCACAAATCATTTTTAACACTCGTCTCCTTCACCTCCATTTGGCACGGCCCAATTCTTTGTTTCACCAGGAATTCAGACACACTAGCTTTGCCATTTTCACCCATTGTATCCTTTTGCTGCATTTGCCAGCATCGTCAAGTGCTTAATCTTGTGCTTGCAAAAGTCACTGAAGGGGGAATAAAAATGACAGGCAAACATTTCTAGAAATTACTTTATTTTGCAAAAAAAAAAAAAGACATATTTACACTATATACACACCCCAAAATGAGCCACTTTGCAACACTATGGTGTATTTAACGGATCAAAATACACTGTATCGATAATCTCTCAGCAGTTCTTGGTCACAGACAAACATACATATTAAATACTGCATTTGGAAGAATTAAACATGTGCTTCCATTATGGGATGTGCTGATAAATTATGTTGGTCTTGCAGTGCTTTTAATAAATAAAATATTTAAAAATGTTCAGTATTATACTACAATGGCTGGTGTGTCTCCAGGCACAACGTTCTTCTACTTCACTAGTCCACACAAGTGGGAGAGTCAACAACTTTCCCAGCAGTCAATGCAAGCAGGACCTCCACAGCAACGAGCCTGTGCACTTGCCAGCCTTCTTGTAGATAGATCCCCACAGTCTTTATTCCACAACATTCAAAACCTGAAGCCTTCTTCCCAGTGAAGAGATAAAGCCAACGAAAGTGCAGAAGTGAAGAGAAGACTATGCTTCTCACTGACCCACACTGGGGCTCCCCATGGTGACTGTGCATTGGTCTTTAGTATTCCAACGTCTTACATTGGTATCCTATAAGGAGATTCAGAATTAATATGCATGAGACATTAAGTCTGGGGAAAAAATACATAAAAAAAACAAACACTTGCTGCGTACCTCTTATTAGGTTTAACTTCCCAGCCATCACGACACTTTACGAAGGTTATATATTCCCCTGGAGAAATCTCAGTTTTTGAGGGGTCTTGTGCACAGAAGGTAAACCTGCAGCAAGCCAAAAATATTTTATGTAAATTAGATTGACTAGAAGTGTTCAACTCCAGGTCAGAACCAGTGTTCTTCATGTTTAAGGATTAAACACACCAAATAAAGCTTTGCTAGATAGACAGCCAATGCATCTAGGACTCTTAAAGATTGGATGTTTGACAGAATCACATACCAATAGTTTCATATTCTAGTCACAGGGCCATCATGTTACATCTTTTATATGCAATTGCTTCAACACAGTAAACTCAAATATGGGCAGAGGTCTGTAGTGTTTGGCTGCATGCTAATGAGGCAATCTATCCAAAAAGAGTAAGAGTGAATGCAAGGGACGAGTGTAAATGTTGCAGTCAGTTTCCATGTCAGACAACTGATCTACCTTCCCAACTCTACTTACTTTTTCTGAGTTTCTCCAGCTTTCACACGAATACGACGGATTTGCAGCACAGGTTTGGTGGCTTTGGTGTTCCAGTTCCAGAAAGAGTGTCTGATGTACTTAAAGACGGAGCTCAAGGATTCAGAGTCGCCCTCCCACCTCAGACTGATCTTAAGCAGATCACCGATATCTTCCTCAGTGAAGACCAAAAAGGTGTTTGTGGAGTTCAGACCAATTGGTTCATCATGGCTGAACAAAGAAACATTAAAGGTCAGAAAATGGGGTAGTGCATCGAACACTGAAAAATTTGAGGATTGTGGAAGCTAAACAAGTGAAACTCAAAATGATAATTACAGCCCTGGAAAAATTAGTTTAAGGCTAAATTAACATTTCTCAAGTATAGTTAATACTTAACCTCAGAAATATGTGCAGGGAGCATTTTCGTTAAAAGTTCAGCCCCACCATTCATGCATAGTCATGTCAAAGTGTTACAGAAAGACTTGTTTTTCCGGTTAGATATTGAACTTACGCAACAAAGATGTTCCCGGTATCATCATGTTCACCGTACAGCTTCACATAAAAGGTTGGCTCTGCATTGTCAAACTGCTTCCTGTTGAAAATGTGCATCTTCATTTGATAGTGGTATCCTAAAAAATAAACAGTAAATGTTTAATTCTCTGCAGAGAGATAGGCACAGTAGTAGTTTATGGCAGTTGCTTATCACTTACTAGGGTAAACATACAAAGTAGTAGAAGATAAGGCCATTAACTTTGAAGCCATGTCCTTTTTCTTACCCCCAAAAGGAGTGTCAGCTCGTGTCTTCAGGTACATCTTGCTGCGCTTCTTGCGCATCTTTCTGGCATTGTAGCCGATGTTATTGCAGCGGTTCTTGCGGCAGCTGAGGCAGGTTCCCTTCTTAAAGCGTTCTGCATCAGTGCATTGGTAGGCATAGCTCACATGATCTTTGTTCATCAGGGAGTCCACAAACAAATGTACAGCTCGCTCATGTTCACACTTCATAACCTCCATGAAATCTGGAAAATAAAGGAAATGCATTCAGAATAAAATGTAAGAATTATGCAACTCATGTAATCAGTTCATGTGGGGGGGGGGGGGGGGGGGGGGATAAAAATTGAGGCTGGATTGGATGAGAGGACTCACTTCCTGCAGCTGCCAAGACGTCACCAAGTGCACACCCAGGCTGGACGTCGCCACCGTTTGGATAGATGTCAATATGTCCAATTGGCTTCTTGATTCCGATGCTCACGCCCAAAGCCTCGCGAGTGTATGTGTGCAAGACATCCACAAAGTCAGCATCATCAGGAGACAAACGTTTCTGGTCATCCACATCTTCAAACATTGGCCCAGCTGGGTCAAGACCTAGAATAAATAGAGATTAAGCCATTAGGAAACTCAAATTTCAACTAGGATAGCTTCTAAGATTCTTTAAATAAATGTCGCTTACCAGTGATTCTACCAAGAGTCCCTTTTACATAAGTTCCTGCATAACCAGCTACATGAGCACCTAAGCTGTATCCAATTAGATGCACATTCTCCAGAGGTAGTTGCAGATCTTCCTGTTTGAAAGGAAAACAAATTTACAAAATGAAAAAGGTGCCATAAAGCAAGAGAATCATCATTTTCACTCAGTCATTAACAACCAAGTCTGCAGCTGAGCCAGTATCTCAACTCTGTTCTACCATCATGTCTGACAGACCAATCCTGGCTATGCTTTGATTTAAAGGAATGCTTTCAAACATATTAGCCTGTGAGATTTCATAAGAGGTTTATATCCCACCCACACACACCTGGAGCCAGTCCAGCATACTGGCAATATCAAGACCGACTGCAAGAGTGTGGTTGACTGCATCAGGGTAGAGCTGCTGAGCCAAAGGTATCCAGTCAACAACCACAACGTTTGCGTCACTTTCCCGCTGCATCACTGCTGAGACGAGGTTGCGCATCCAGGCTTCAAATATACCACTCATCTGAACATAAAAAGCAGAAATGTAAAGGTAAACAAAATTTTCTTTAATAGTGCATTCAAATAAAAGGAATCCCTGTAATCTTTAGGTGCACAAAATAAACTGAAAAAAAAATTTGAACGCCATTTACCGTCCAGCCGTGGATGATGAAGATAGTCTTGGCGGTTGCGTTGAAGCCACACTTTTCTAACTGGTCTTTCTTGCCAGTCTGCAGGTAGCACCCTTCTTGGTCCAAGTCTAAATCCTTCCTCAGGTTGTACTTTATTGTGCCACTGATAGCCTTGTAGTCTGACTCAAATCCATTTTCTTCACCTGGACAGAAATATTTGATTAAAAACATTTGATGGCATAATGAAGCAGTCAGCATTTCTTCCCTGTACAAAAATAGAATACATACATCTGGGCATTTCTTAGTTTGGCTTAGTCACCTTAGAAAGGATCCAGCTTACCTATAGCTTCTGAAATAGATCTCAGTATAGGCTCAGCTTAAGATTTAAACCATTTCTCTTCACTAGAGCCACAGCTGATTATTCAATACATTCTGTCCCTCTACTCATCAAATATTGACGTTTGGTCCAGTTCTCTGTGCGTCAGATACTGACAGGGGTACCCCTCTTGGCATTTGTTGACGCACGGCACAGGGTACATAAAAAGTCAATACGTTATTCAACTTTTGAAGAGAAACTACAGCTAGAAAAATTTTATTTTACTTTTCTCAAATCTCAATTTGGTAGCAAAAACAGCTGATTAAAAATCCAGGGTTGACTAAAGCTTTCTTAAAGCAAGATTTTCCTTTCCAGTCACTACAGCCTTGCCTCAGACAGGGCATGCATGTAATGGCTAAATGCAATTTTATTTGCTCTCGTCTGACTGGATTGAATACATTTCTGCATTTAACTGGAATCCTTTGTCATGTAAACGTTACCTCCAGCCCAATAAATTGAAAATGCGGAAGTTAGCTGATTATATCTAAACTTTGGAAAAAAAAAAAATCTTAATAATGTGACTCAAAAGAAACAAAGTTACAGAATTAAATGAGATCAATACAGATTTTAAACATTGGCTCTTGCAGTTGATGCAGAAACCTGGTGCGAAAAGGTGCACAAACCAAGCTGGAGGGGCCCCAAATGGCCCCCGCCACTTGTCATTTCACTTCACTCCCCCTTTTCCCACAGCTGCAGCTCATAATTAGGGTACTTTACATGCCTCTGGAAGGCTGAAAGCCAAAAATAAGCAATTAACCCACAACTCAAATACACACCAAGTTGGACCCCCATTCATTCTGAAGACAACCGATTTAATTGCATTTGTTAAATAGTTTACTCCATTTTAATTATAGGATAAAGGGAATCTGGGCTTGGGGCCCCTATAATTTGTTCAACATTAACACCCTTTTGGTAATTAACCACAGTGGCCAGGGGATCTTTGGTAGTAAAACGCAGAATCAGCGGAGCACATGTCCAAATGGTTCAAATATAGAGAGAGGCTGCCATAGGAGGGGGGAGACGTGGCGTTAGGAGCGCCTTCCTTCTTTCAAGGCTCCTAAAGGAACACGTCGCAGTTTTCCTTCTAAATTCATCCCCGACCCAATTTTCCTCTCGTTTTTCTTTGGAATACTAATTCAGCAAATGTTTTATCAGGGTTAGAGCCAAAAATAAATTCTAAACATTCATTAAAAACCCGTCTAATTCCTTTATGAATCACACAAAGAAATGAATGAACAAAAGACTTGGAGCGCTTACCTTTAAGAACAGAGTTCTCCCCAAAGGCGAAGGACACGCACTGCAGGAAGGTCCATAGTAAAACATTTTTATGATTCATTTCTCAGTCGCAGACGTAAGAGCAACACTTTAATAAAAAATATAACCAAGTCTAAAAAGTCTTATTTGGCTGTTTTTCCTTGAGGTAAAGCAGTGAATGTGGACCCAGTGAGGAGAAAGAACCGGTGCGTCCTCTTTTGGATGCGCGCCTGCAGGAGTCCGGCTCCAGAAATACTACTTGAACCTGCTGCCTTTTTAGTTTTAAATAGTTTCTCGTTCCAAGTCATCTGATCATCGGCTGATATAACGTGGATCTTATTGGTCAAGCCCCCGTTTGTTTACGCTGAGGGCGTGGCAACGTTTGAATGGAGCAGAGTAGTAGTTTCTCACGTTTTTGTGGTGACGCAAGCGGCCAGGATTGTCGCTCCAGAGGGCTCCCTACTGCCTCCATCCCTCATAAAACTAAGGAGGTGTAAATAAATGACAGATGACAGAAACAGAGCGTTAAAGGTTGTAACTTTCCTGTTAAAGAAGAAAAAAGAAAGCTTGAAATATTGTGAGTCATACCACCCACCCCCGTGGAACATGTTTAAATGGCCTTGTTTGTGTGGGGGGTGGATGGAGAGTCTCTCTCCCTCCATCTTTCCTATCTTCCTGGCATCCAGCCAAACCACCAGCTTAGCCCACAGACCACTTTCAATGCAGGAGGCGAATAATGGACCCACTCACGCAAGGGGGTCTCCGCTACAATACACCCACTGTTTGTGTGTAAATAGATCAGGGCCTACCACAAGGAAGTGACACCTGCCACTCCAGCAAACCCTCCCCCATTGCTACCTGCTTTTGGGCTTTTCTCTTTATAGCAGGAAAATATTTTCCTTTTTACCATTTGGACACCACAAACCCAACTTTTTATTCATGTATAATGTTTTAGGTCAGGGGTCTTCAACGTTTTCCAGGCCAAGGACCCCCAAACTGATGGCGAGATGGAGCGGGGAGGACCCCCTAATTACCGGTATATAGACATATTGTATGAAATTGTGTTATATTAAACCGGTCTTATAGTCACTCTATTACACATGGAGTCGATGTAACGAAAGTAATTTCTCCCTGGGATTATTAAAGTATTTCTGATTCAGATTCCTCGTTGATGGGACAGGTGTTGTGAATGAAATGGTGCCCATCTTGAAAGAGCTCCCATGTGTCACTGAATGGGTGCATTGATGACATCTTCTGCCTCCATTTATCTGCTTACTTCAGTGTGTTGAATTCATGTTAATGTCAGACGCGTCAGCTGACCGAATACTATACAGGGGCACAATAGGACACAAAAAAGAAATGCTACAGATTTTTTGGGCAATTATTTGGAGGTGTCCCCCCATACTCCGCTGGGAGAGCAGAGCTGTGAAAGCGGAAAATTAATTAATTTAAAAAAATCAGTGCCCCAGGCATACCCAGGCACCGCAGATCAACAACGGGGCACATGCCCCTGTGAAAAGGGTCTGGAGACGCAGCTGGTTAATGTGTATTTTAAGACATTTCAATTAGTGTTAAAAAATTGCAGGGGGGAATATAAAAAGAAAAAGTCTAATAAACCAAAACTTTTAAGACCCCCATGCAGTACTGTAGCCGACCCCCTGTTGAAGACAATTTTAGGTGATTGACCCACGTGGCACATGACTGTTAAAAAGAAAGAAAATATAAACCCAATAAAAATCTATGAAGTGGAATACACTGTTCTGAAATGATGCTTTGGTGATGCATCTCCCACCAGCAGTTACAGGTGTGAATACTTTGCTGTATCTCTATACATCAAACAATTCCCCATCAAATTTGTGTTTTGGTTTAAGTTTTGACAAGGCCACTATAACCCACAAATATAGCTTTATGTAAAAATCCTATTTTTATTTATGGCGGCAGCCTTTTTTTCTAAAGCAAGAAAAAATAAATTGAATAAATCATTGTTAACGTATGCTTCAAACCTAGATGGAAATTACCATTTTCTTTGCAAATAAAGACAAAATATGCTGACTACTCACTTAAAAGCTTTCCATATAAAGAAACATGTTTAAAATTAATAAATCACACAATAAAACAACTGATTGAACAGTGTATGTTTTGCACATTTGTGAAAATGATGACAATTTTGAATGACCCTGTATTGGATAGAGCAAGTAGAAGAAATTTCAGTGACACATTTTCTTAATTTTAAACCATAATGGAGATAATCAGCTGATGAGGGAGGCCTTTTTTTTTTTTAGTTGCTGGACTTGTCTTTTTAATGTGCTGTACATAATTTGGGCCCATGACTTCTTTTTTTATTTACACTGTCTCAATTTGTTTGCTTTGCTTTTTTCCTTTGCATGGAAAGGACTTTAATGTTAAAAGTGCAAATCTCCCTCTGGGAAGAGTTTTCGCATAATTTAATGCAAGTTCGGCAGATTCTGCAGCAACTTCTTCCCCACCGCCATCTGACTGCCGTAACGGTTGAAAAAACTCAAAATGTCACAGACTCTGCATCACACTGATAACACCGATCCAAAATTACTGCATATTTGCACCATACACTTCCATATCAATGCGGGGGGGTTTTTGCACCATGTTTTTTCCCCCACACTGTTTACATTTGATTATTGCTGCACTTTATTAAATGGAAATGTACATTTACTGTCTGGAAAGATTTATTAATCAAAATTTAGTTTTGTATACACTTTGTGTTTACAAAAAAAAAACTTTATTATTACACTTTGTGTATACAAAATAAAATAAGAATCAGCAATTACGTAAAAAGCCTTTTAGATCAGTCTTTATTCTTATCTTCTGTCAAAGTTTGATTAAAAACTCTTCATTCTTTAAATGACTGAAATAAATTCCTGTATTTTTAGTTATTTTCCTATAAATAGCTGTGTGCTAATAGAGATGCATGGTGGTGTGTGTGTGTGTGTGTGTGGGGGGGGGGGGGGGGGGGGGGGTCACTGCAGTTAAAGCTGAGAGGTCCATGCACCACCTGGTGTAATAATAATCTGACTGACATCACTCTGACTTTTGAAACGCTAGGATGTCATTTTTGGATGGGTCTTCATCAGGGTTAGTGGCTAGTGGGGATAGGTCCATAAAAGTGAGTGAAAAAAAATCACTCACTTTAATTATTGCTTGGGTCATTAAGATCAATAAAAAAAATAATTTATTGATCATAAATTAAAAAAAAATCTGAAATAACCGATATTCTCTGACACTAGTTGTATTTCCAGAAAAAGTAAATCAGTGTAACTATCATATTAAATCACAGCTGTCTGACCATTTACAGGTGGGAGGGTTGACAAGGTGCAAATAAAACAGCTAACAAAGGGGACGAAGAGACAGGCCTTGCCTAAAAATGACTTTTTATATGGGTTGGTGTGTTTTATCTACAGCTAATGCCAAACAATTTCACTTTTTTTGCAGTTTGAAACAGATCTGGTTCTCAAAATTCAATCGTTTATAAGTTACCGCATCCCCTGATTATTTTTTACTGAAAGGCTTGGTAGATCCACACTGGCTTATAAATTAAAACTAATTTTTGAAAAAAATAATCAATCACACAATCATTATTTTTTTAAGTACAAAGATAGCTGGCATTTTCCCCTCAAGTTAGATTCAATCTTATAAGAACTACCTTTAAAAAAAAGAAAATTCCTAAAAATCTTTATGTTCCTGCCAAATCTGTTGCAAGACAAATGTCAGAAAAAAATTACAAACATAAACAACAAAAACACAAGCATCTTGTGTCAAGGATGTATTTTAATCTGAAAAGAAGTCAATGAATAGAGTCTACAGGGATGACAGTTTAGTGTTAAGTTGGTGGTGAAAATAAACCAAGACCTTTTGACAATTTATTTCTGTTTATTATCCAAACATGACATCGAGACCAAAGTAAATCCCTGGTACTCCTAATGAAGTACTAAGAAAGAACCCCATGTACTTCCCGGACTATGTCTGATGTCAGAAATTGGCAGTCACGTTCACCTTGAAAGTAAAAGGAGTCTCCAGTGAAGGGCTCCTGTTATTCTTTCCATCCACTCAGCAAACTGTCAGGTCTTGGTCTGTGAGCCAGTTTGGTTCTGTACTGCGTCGAATGGTTTGTTCTGTGAGGTCCGTGTGGTAAAGAACCACAGCGCGAAACTTAAACAATCCGACAAATCTAAGATTGTCGAGGGCAGCAGAAAAAATAAGTGCCAGCATTGTTCAAGAGTCAGGAGGAGCTTTAACCCATCCATAAAACCATTGTTAAAAACATTTAAAGAATCTTAATAGAGTTTTATAAGAGCTAACTCTCTGCTAGACATGACTAAATCATAGGTCCTGAACTCGGATGTTTCAACGATAAACCTAATGCTTAAAGCTTAGTTCTGGGGAACGGAAATCATAACACTGTAACAAACAAATAAAAAGGAATACTGTTTTAAAAAAGGCATCATTTCATGGAAACACTTACAATACTAACTGGGTCGTGTGATGGAAAACACTCCTACCTCACCCTCGTAAAGTCTCTGGTTTGCATATGAGGTGTGGAGGCTTTTCTAGATGTTTACATGCGTTCCTGATAACCCACCTGGGATTTTTAGGGGGAATTTAGTCTTCACATATCACAATCTGAAATACTGCATTTTTTGTTAAATGCATTGTGGGGGTCTTCTGTCTCTCTCTGTCTTTTTCGAAACATATTCCTTTCCTTGCCTTTCGAAATGGTAAAAGAAGACGAATCTCTACAGATAATGGAGAAAAAAAATGGTAAAAAGAGTGGATACTGATCCCTAATGCATGGACGTCAGCCTCTGTTCAAGCAGATGAGTTCAGGTCTCCCTGTATTTTGGACAAACTAAAGCTAATGGGAGTGCTGGTGCGTTTTTTTCTTGGAAAGGAAAAGTCGAGCCAAAAAGTGGAGCTCTAGATATACAGAATCCTCTATGTTCTAACAATCACCTATGTCACGAGATATGATCAATGAAAGAGAGATAAAGATACTGGTGATACCCAATCATCTAAAGAGTGTTTCTTAATCCTAGTCGGCCTCAGCAGATGGCCGCTCACACTGAGCCTGGTACTGTTGGAGGTTTCTTTCTGTTAAAAGGGAGTTTTTCCTCTCCACTGTCGCTACAAGCATGAGTCGATGAGTCGATGCATTTAACTGGTTTTCCTTAGATAGAAAACTTTGAATCAATTTGACTGTATGATCTGGTGAACTATAAAGTGCCTTGAGATGACGTGTTGTGAATTGGCGCTATATAAATAAACTGAGTTGAATGAATCCCTTGTAAAAATATTACTATGATACCGTAATAGTTTCACTCTCAGATTGCCTTTTTTGTTAAAGGCATCATGTGTTTTTTATTAATCCAAGAATTTATATATATATATATATATATATATATATATATATATATATATATATATATATATATATATATATATATATATATATATATATATATATATATATATATATATATATATATATATATATATATATATATAATACCTGATATAATACCTGTACCTGATGTTTATGTCAGTAATCAATTTGTAACAGTTTATTAGTGCAATGAAATAAAATTAAAAAAAGTTTGACCTCAGTATGAATGCGCATCAACCGGGGCTTTAAAAGTTAGACGATGGCGCCCCCATGTGGTCAGAACAGATAGCCAGTGACACAGCAAGAGGCGGAGGTGAGCAGTGAAGCTAAACCGGATCCTTCATGAGGGAAGAGGCCAGGGACAGGCACCCAGCCCCGGCTTCTCTTCTCTTCTCTCATATCGTTTTGTATTGCAATCCTCGGGAGCCCAACTAAAGGGCTGAGTTAGTGTTCGTAGGATGTCCCGCCATGAAGGTAAGACGCCATATCAACACAGACCGAAGGACGGGTCAAAAATCTCTTAAGAAACCGTTGACACAGTTCAACGCCGGCTAACTGCCATTAGCCGACGAATTCACAATATGCAGCTCGTCTTAGCTAGCATTGGGTAGTGTTAGCAGCATCTGCACTTTGATATTTTTGAAAAACGTATCTTTATCTGGTCCTAAGGAATGTATTTTACATAGCTGCCTGTCCGTTTTTAGTTCCTATTTGAGCAAATATTAAAAATTCCACTTTATTGAGCGCTGTCACATAAGCGGAAGAGGCTAGTTCGCGTTAGCATGGCGCTAACTTAGCAAGGCAGCTATGTGGTAATGTAGGTGATCGTTGAGGAGCAAGGGGAGTGCCGAAAATAGGCAACATTAGAGGACAGCGGATCCCGGATGGATTTGTAAGCTTGGAAATGATTCTGGTTTGTCGCTTTAGCTTCGTTCTTGGTTCAAATCGGCCTGTAGATTTCAGCTTAGCTAGCTGACGAACTGCAAACAACAATCATCTCGTCCTTGTCACCAACCTTGTTTGGCTTTGAGTGGTTTGTTCGAGTAACATGTAAACAGATGTATTAACTGTGATATTACTGTAAATGTGTGAAACATAGTGAATTGGCTTTTCGGTTTTACATGTTGGCCATCAGCAGCTGGTAAGTTGCAAAGGTTAGTTCGGCCTGGACGGCCTCAGTTTCCATGTTTGTGTTTTTGTGAACTTTGCTGTCAGTTGTCTTCAACTTACTGCCTGATTTAAGTTAGCTGTCTGTGTGAGACTGAACTCGAAATAGTCCTGAATCTTAAGTCATTCACAATAAATAAAATGTTTCCTGGATTCATATACAGTTTATTGTCGCTCATGGTTGAAGACTTTAGCAGTTGGTATGAAAAAAGGAAATAAAAGGACAGCTAAACAGTGTTTGCTGATATGATTCCCTGCAACTTTAAAGATAATAATCCAGATTATTAAATCACAGCCGCCTTAACGATCAGGTTTTAACATATAAAATTAAATTCATATTTAAATTTATATAGCATGAAATCTGCTTCTTATGTCTGAATACTAGCATCAACCTTCTAAGAATATGACTTCATAGTTGTAAACTGCTAATGATATTGTGCTTAAATAGCTGTTTTTAATCTTCTATTATAGTATATTCTTCAAATGTTGATCTTTATTATATTTTTAAATAGCCAAAACTTGACTGGTGTACCTGATTATTATACTTTTGTATGTTTAAAATTGTATTATTTATGTATGAAATGTCATTTGCTAACTTGATTTATATTGAAATATTTTTTTTTTTATCTTTATTTGCGGTGTAGAACTTAACCAGAAGTTACAATGTACAGTTAAGACAAGTCTTTATTTGTAATCAATTAAAATTTTTTTTTTTTTTTTTTTTAGTTCTGTGCCTTTTAATTAGATAAGATTGTAACATTATTGTGACCTTATAACACCTGATGGTGTCGGTTATTATAAACATAAATAAATTGGAATTCACAGTTCAGGCTTTTTAAAGATAGGCCAGAAAACTGCTATTAAATCACCTATAAAATATGAATTATCATTGAGGTTATCCTTCTTTTGTAACTTTTTTACTGGAGATAACATTTTGAATTTCTAAATCTCAGCTACTAGGCAACCATAGATGTTTTGCACTGGTTGCGATCTATCCATCTAATCATTAAATATGTTGGGTAAATAAAAAAAAAAAAAAAAACATTGAGTGTAAAACCTTTCAAATAATATCAAGATCAAGTGAGTAGGATAAATTAGGACAGCTGGAGTACGGTATTTATTGTTCCTCAGCGTATGTGATAAAGTTATTGGTATAAAAACCCCAAAATCCAAAGTTGCTTATTGGCTTAAATTAAAAACATTTTGAAGATGTTACCATAAAATACCTATCTTTGAATGTTTCGTGTTTTTAGGGGTTATGGTAAACATCATAGTCCTTGGATGTATCCAAATGAACGCATTCTTACTGCAACAAAAACATTTTCTGGCTCAACAAAATGCATTGCTATTATACCTATTTCTTACCTAGAAATTGTAGCTAGTTTAGTAAAGATTTGAATGCTTTTTTTTAACTGGTGATCTTGCGCTTGTGCTCATGTGCTTCAAAAATCTAATTGGTTTGGTTTACAGATACTTACAAGTATGATAACAGACTATTTGGGTAATTAAAGACCCAGCATAAAAGGAGTTTTCTTGTCTGTAAGGTGAAACGCAGCCATCCACATTTTCCTGTCAGTAAATGTTTTGTTGCAAATAAGGAAAAATACCAAGAAACTTTGCAATATTTAGGTCTGGAAAGGTCGTTACTATTTATAAAGATACATTGGATAATATGTCATTATGAGCATAGAATTCAAGTTCAACCCTGAAGCATTGTGAATTGTTTCAAAAAAGAAAAAAAAAAAACTAGATGCCTTAAAAATAAATGACTGTTGTCAACAATGGCTTTCAAAAAGTTACGATGAAGACAAAACAGTTCCTGGAAGAGTTAGACTGGGTTAAAGGTATGAATCAGGCAAGACATTTTTAATTTTTGCTTATTCTGAACTAAATCACTTGGAGAATGTTTGGTTAAACCTTGTCAATTCAAATAGTCTATATTAATGCAGCTTTTAAGGTTGAAGAAATAAAAATGTATATTCTCTATGCTCCGTGAACACTCTCTTGAGGATTATTATAAAATCCTTTGTCAAATTCCCTCATTTATTTATCTAAAATGCTCAATGAAGCTAGGAAGAGTAAAAAAAACAAAAAACATTTGTACACTTTAGCAAGTTATCCAGACATCTAGTTAGTTTCTTTTAGACGTCTAATTCGTATTACCTTTGCATTTGCGAACAAGTACTTAGCTATTGGTTAAGTGTTCCTTGATCACACATGATGCCCAATCTTGCTTTTCCTAATTTTTATTTTTCTTCATTTTATTTATAATATATATATATATATATATGTACACAATAGGCTTTCATTCAGATTTTCTAACCCTGGTTGTGCTGTGTGTTCTCCTTTTAGGTGTGAGCTGCGATGCGTGTTTAAAGGGCAACTTCAGAGGTCGGCGGTACAAGTGTTTAATTTGCTACGACTATGATCTGTGCGCCTCATGCTACGAAAGCGGAGCGACCACGACCAGACACAGCACAGAGCATCCCATGCAGTGTATATTAACTAGAGTTGACTTTGGTAAGCAAACCTAATGGCACATTTGGAAAAAGTCTATAAAAGGTCCAAATTGTCTGTTTGAAGGTAGCAGTTATTTGCAAATGGTGACTCTAAGGAATAGTCATTCAAATTTATTCATATTTGTCTTTCGCTAGCCTGGTCGGCCAGGCTGACTTACACCATTTGTAGGTAGTAAGGCTTAATACTCTCCTTTTGTAACCCCAACAGTCAGCATTTGAGCTGCAACAGTGTGATGTTTTAATTATGTCCTGAAAGAGCTGTTTATATTGTTAAAATGTCCAAAACTGGCTGCTCTAAGAGCTTTTTGGGTCACAGCAGTAGTTTTTTTTTTTTTTTGGGATCGGCTCTACCAGCTTATATCCAGACTAATATACCACATGAATTAGTCTGGCTGACCAAGCAAACCTTTCCCCACTCCTGAGCAGTGATTCAGTTGTTTAATGCTATGCTAACCATTTTGTCAGTTGTTTGTCTACTGTATGAACTGGTGGGTTCCACATTTCAGACATAGCTATCTTAGAAACCATACATACATTTACATACATACATTCATGTGCAGACTTGCAGTACCTTTATAGAGGGTCTGAAACTCTAGTCCTCTACAGACAGTGTCATTATACATTCTGATGCATTCCCAAATCAATGCATCCGAATATTACCGCTTTTCCACTGGCGACTGTCTCCCACCACTGCTTGTCTCATGACGGCATCACGCTGGGTGAGTGAGCGTTGATGAGTGCGACGGAAATCAGGGAAGTAAATAATAGAGCAACATGGACGGGAGCCAGAGCGTAGTCGGTTTTCTTTATTGTTTCGCTGTTTTGTCTGTCCGAATCTCTCTTACCAGCGCTGCGCCATGTTTAACGAATGTAATCAGAGCTTTTTCAGCTTGTTAGATCAGAAGCGACTGGCCCGGTGTGTTATAAAAGAGTTGAATTTTATCCTCTGCATGTATACATCTCCAGCTAATAACCTAATTTTTAGATTGTAGCTTATTGGAACTAAAACACACCAGATAGATGCTGGGCACCAGTTGTTTAAAAGCTGGAGTTTTAGATCCCTGTCTGTGTAAGAACAATGTAAATATATTATTTGTTAGATTCTCCATTCTTAGATGGTTTTATGTGACATGCTGTGCATGAAAGGCACTTTGAAATGCTTGTGTGCATACACCAGTGCTGAATGTAGTATCTCTTTCTCCCTCCTCAGACCTGTACTATGGTGGAGAAGCCTTCTCTGTGGAGCAGCCCCAGGCCTTCACCTGTCCTTACTGTGGCAGGATGGGCTACACAGAGATCTCTCTGCAGGAACACGTGGCTGCAGAGCATACAGAGACCTCCACAGAAGTGGTGAGTGGGCGCTTAAAGATTTACAGCCGTCGATGTGTAACCCTGATTAGATGTCTGGGCTGGGAGCATTTTGTTTTGAGTGGTAGTCTGAGTCAAACGTCAGTTGCAAATAAATCAAGATGATTGAATGTTACTATGGAAGCTAGTGTTAATGGGAAGGTTAATTGCTTGTGAAAAGTTAATATTTTGAAGTATTTCACATAGGTCTCTGTGGGCTAATATTTTCACTTGCTTATTTCACTGCTGTATGATCATATGCATGCAAAACACAGGCTTTTTGTTAGGCCAATATGGAGAAAGGCCTGATGAGTTTGTGCTGGGAAATAGCTGTAGGTTCACATTGGGAGAAAAAAAGGGGTGGGTAATGTTTAATCACTGTATAAAACATTCCTTTATGTCATTACTTCTGACCTTCCTTTTCCTGGAAAGCACCGAAGCCCTTCATTTTCAGCCTGTCTCCTTCTGCTGTAAATAGTTGTTAGATATCTTTTTGCTTAACATGTGCTCAGAGGAACTTATTGCCATGCATGTTGTTAAAGATAGAGATGGCAGACAAAGAGGATGTGAAAACAGTCATCTGGAGTGGATCAGTTTAGAAAAACTACACCGCTGCTGAGAATCTGCAGCAGTTTCTTGTGGGCTATACAAGCACTGGACAAGATCTACCAGTTGATATAGTTTCATATAGATGTGGGGCAGCATGCCTCTACGCTGGTACACAGATTTAAGAGATGCTGTTAAAAGGTTTGTTCTTAAAATTCTGTTGGAAACTGTCCAGATCTCGAAGAAGTATTGGAATCCCCTGCTCTTTTGCAAGTTCTCCCACCTAAAAATCATGGAGGGATCTGAAATTGTCATTGTAGGTGCTGGTCCACTGTGAGAAACATATTCTAAAAAAATAATAATTTAGAAATCACAATACAGGATTTAACTATTTATTTGTATGATACAGCTGCAAAAAAATATTTGAACAAGCCAAAACCTTGACATGCATCCTACACATGGCCCCGGGGGTCATCCTCTCCTTCATACAGTGCAGTCAGCCTGTCCAATGTGCAGAAAAACACCCCCAAAGCATGATGCTACCACCCCCATGCTTCACAGTAGGGATGGTGTTCTTAGGGTGGTACTCATCATTCTTTTTGCTCCAAACACAGTTAGTTTATGACCAAAAAATTCTAGTTTGTTCTCATCTGACCACATGATTTTCTCCCATGATTCCTCTGGATCATCCAAATGCTAATTGGTTAACTTAAGACGGGTCTTGACATGTGCTGCTTTAAGTAGGAGAACCTTCCGTTCCATGAATAAGTTCAAACAATAATGTCTTAGTCTATTACCAAACAGTAACCTTGGAAACGGTGGTCCCAGCTCTTTTCAGGTCATTGACGAGGTCCTCCCATGTAGTTCTGGGCTGATTTCTCACCTTTCTTCAGATCATTGAGGCCCCACGAGGGGAGATCTTGAATGAAGCCCCAGTTTGAGGGAGATTGACTGTCATGTTTAGCTTCTTCCATTCTCTACTGATTGCTCCAACAGTGGATCTTTCGTCACCAAGCTGCTTGGCATTTTCCCTGTAGCCCTTTCCAGCCTTGTGGAGGTGTACAATTTTGTCTCTAGTGTCTTTGGACAGCTCTTTGGTCTTGTCCATGTTAGTAGTTGGATTCTTTCTGATTGTATGGGGTGAACAGGTGTCCTTATGCAGCTAACGACCTCAAACAGGTGCATCTAATTTAGGATAATAAATGGACTGGAGTTGGACATTGGACATAGAAGTCTGACTAACTTTAAGGGTCAGACTTCTAGCTCATAGACAGGTGTTTAAATATTTAATTGCAGCTGTATCTTACTAATAGTAAAAAAAAAAATCATACCTTGTAATTTCTGGATTTTTTTCTTTATTTATTTCTTTGCATCCCTCTCAGTGGACACGCACCTACAGTGACAATTTCAGACCCCTCCATGATTTCTAATTGGGAGAACTTGCAAAATAGCAGGGTGTTCAAAGACTTATTTTTCTCATTGTAAGTTTCAGGGAGACCGTTAACCAGAATAACTCAATTGTATAACTGTGTTTCCCTTTAAACATCTGTTCCTACATTTAAAGCTCTTTTGGTTTATCTGTAACAGAAATAGAAATAAGTTATAAGGTATTGAAATTAAAGAAAGTGAGCCTTTGGAAAAAAATGTTATTGTGGGTTAGATGCTTTCTTTTTTTCCCCACTGCCCCTGATGTGACTTTTGTCCACTCCTAAAATATCCCCCTCCATCATCTCAGCTTTTTGTATAAATGCTGTTGCCAGAAGAAAAGCTGAATGGACCTGGTAATGCATTAAAAGGACTTCCATACAATGCCTTGGTTAAAGAAGCGTAGATGTGATTTTATTTCCTGGTTTTTTAAAGAAGCAGAGTGACGTTGCCGTATAGCCATAAATAAGATCACACTAAGCCACCAATCAATAAAAGGACTGACTGTTGTTCTCTAAAGGCGATTCAGGACCCGTTAGAGATGATCATGGAAGTTATTTACCTTTATTTTGTTTTACAAATGTAAGAAAGCCTCCTGCCATTCACAATGTGAAAAAAACTGTCTCAAAAGTGCAAACTTGTTTGTGAAAAGGGAAAAAGTGAAAAAGCCTCACTCGAGCAAGCAGACGTGACACAGCAGGGACGCAGCAGACATGCATGAGCTGTATTATCATCACTGTACAAACCATATTTGCAGGGTTATCTGTAACAACTACAGGGTGTTTTCTGGTCAGCCCCCATTTGTAATGTCTTCAGTCAATCTATTGGGTATATTTGCAGCTGTCTGGCTTGAAGTAATCTTGAGTGCATCTTTCCTGCTTATTTGAATGTGAATGTCACGCGGTTCACTATAAAACTAATCGATCTCATTCCCTACACATCGATTTGGCAAAAATGTAAAGGAATCGATTCAAAATCAATTAAATCGATTTTTTTTTTTTTTTTACCCAGCCCTAGTGGTTTGTGAATATAGAAAATGATACTATATGTGACTTAAAAAAAAAGAAAAATCTAAAATCAGCTTTATTTGCACTAAATGCTGTTTTTCTAAATGGAGTTTAGTACATGGGAAAATTTTTGGACATGGTATTTCATTAAACGGCTTTGCTGGCAGACGTTCTTTGTAGGGGAGCACTGACTGCAGGTTTCTGGCCGAACACCGAACCACAATCTTCAAAAAATATTTTGACCAATACAGATTATTATTTTTTTTTTTTGTTTTGTTTTGTTTTTATAACTGACACTGTGAGATGTTATATGATCACAAGACACCTTTAATATTTCATTCTCATCTTAGTCAAATAAATTAATCGGTCCCCTTGAAACAATAAACACTTAAATAGAAACATATAAATAGAAATCAAGAGCATTGTCAGTGGATGATTTTCAGGCTTTTGAAGAGGTAGCTACAATTGATGGAGAAGATTGATTTAACATCCAAGTATCGTTTGATCCCCAATCTCCCAACATTAAGAAAATCGAGGCCAGTCGATCGGTGCACCTGTAGTTCTCCGTTTTTTACATCAGACATTACAGAGTTGCTTTTCCAGGGGAAATGTATTCATTTTTTTCTATCAGTCCAACATTCTGCCTTTATGCAAAGTTTTGCACTAAGAAGATGCTCTAACTGAAAACTTTTTCCCTGTAGGATGATGTCAGAAAACAGTTTGATTGCCAACCTTTATCAGATATGTCAAGGCTGAATTTTTTTCCCCCTCTTTTCTTTCAGATATGTCCCATATGTGCAGCACTGCCAGGTGGCGATCCAAATCACGTGACTGATGACTTTGCTGCTCATCTCACACTTGAACACAGAGCCACAAGAGACTTGATATCCTTTTTCCACCCTGATGGACATGTGTATAACCAGAGAAGCAAATGTATACCCTTTTTTATGTTTTATTATATCTAACCTTGAGATTGCCGTTACACAGATGTCTAAAATAGCTGCCTGTAGTATCAGACCCAATCAATGCTCCTAATTATTATTATTTGGACTATTAGGTCTGTACATGCCATAAATGCAGTAGCAAAAAAGAAAAACAACTCGGTTTCACTTGTTTTTTTGCACTATTGATTTCTTCAGTTGAAGCACAGGTGGGTTTTAGATAAAAAAAAATTGAATTAGAGCACATTTGCTTCGTTTAACTACCCTTAAATGTGGCAATGTACATTTTTGACCCATTCAGGCCAGAAAATAGGATTTGTGAAAGAAAGACAATTGACTTGCATTGCTGTAAAAACCCTGCACCACGTTTTTAAGGTGATGATTAAATGTAAGCGGGATGTTGTTGAGCAGCTTGTAATGAAATCAGTTGGTTTGCTTGTCAGGAAAGAGCTGAAATACTTTCTATCTAGAATAGCCTCAGGTCTGACGACATCAGCCTGCTGGTCTATTTATAGGATACTTTGAACAAGTGCTTCAGAGAAAACAAAAGAGGCAGAAATGCAATGAAAATGAAACTCGGAGCAAATGCATCAGAAAGCTTTACAGACAGGCTCTTGGATTGGTTGTGTAGCCAGTGTTCTTTGTTTTTCAGTGGTAAGATTATAAAAACATGCAAATGTATATATTTTTAAAATAACAGACAGCCTGACTAGGAAATGTTTTCAGTTTTCGAAGCGCTGCCTCTGGCTGCAGGATGCAGAAGTAGTTTCTTTAAAGTCAGTCTTATTGTGTTGGTAAAACAAGAGGGTCTGTTGAATATGTGAACATTTATGGCAAAATAAGACGCCTAATAATGGTAGAATATTGTTGCTTTCAATATTTTCCTTAATGGGGAGTCTCACGACGAGTCCAGTGGGGTACGGCACGTAAGGAGGATGTTTCACCCTGGCCGCGGGTTAGGGGGGCCGCGGGCCCGCAGGTCTAACATGCATTTCACCAGCAGCACCACAGGGGGGCTCTCCACCAGTCAGAGTTCCTCACAGAGCGCCAACTACAGCAGAGAGACCATGGATCCCATAGCAGGTGAGGAGATGCTTCACAGAATCTGCTCTAAATAAATACATTTCTAATTGTAGACAGAAGTTCATTATAATGTTTGAAATGGAAGTTATTTAGTATAAATATCTGACATGTGAAGAGCGTAAAGGTGCCTGCAACATGTTTTTCAATCATTTTACAAGAAGGTTTGGTTGCATGTTCGTCTAATTTTCTGCATTTTTGTGTTTTGAGAACATTATGTTTAATTAAATGTGACAAACGACATGTGCAAAGGTTCACTGAAAAATAAGGCTGCTTACTTTGATCACAAATCACTTGGGTGTGAAGTTTTTATCTGTTGCCTTCTTTAAAAAAGGCTACCTGATGTTTTTTTATTTTCCTGTAAATGGAGTCCTGTGGTTGTTCTATTTGGCAAATAAATGGTTCAGATAAACATTAACTTTCCAGAAAACCTCACTTCATAGAAAATAGCAGGTTTTCATGGATGATTTAATGTAATTGGGAATGGAAACAATGTCTGAACCAACCTAATCTTTGTCTGACCTGCAGGACTGGAAATCACTGAAATTCATCTAGTCTGAAAACACCAAGTTGGCTATAATATATCATAGAACAACGCTGTGTAGCTCGATCCCACACCGCCCCCTGAGCGCTAACCCTCTGTCTGTGGAGGGTCCACCACATAAAAGAGCGTCCCAAGGCACGTAGTGGATAGGGCGAGTAGACCGTTCAGCTCTTAAATAATGAGACTGTACTAAATTTGACAGCGGGTGTAACAGCGAACTAAGCGCGGCGGAAACAAATGCATTCAAATGTTAGTTCCACTGATATGCTGCATTTTTCTCATACTGACAGAAAACCACAAGTTATGAAAATTACTAAATGGAATGTCCTCTTTGAAATAATTTTGACTATAAATTAATTATTAAGAAATGTTTGGTGTCATGTTAACCTGCACCACAGAGCACCGGCCATGCATATGGGGTGGCAGTGTGTTACCATAGCAATGCCTGCTTTCCTTTTCTGTTGGAGGGAAGAGGCCATCTCATTCTCATTTATACCCCCTCCCCCTTAAATCAAGATGCCCTCTACAACTGAGTCCGACCTCATTGGGAGTGACACTACATAGCAAAGGGTAGTGCTTAGGGGTGGTTTGGGATTGGGTCGATGCCCTGACCTAAAGAAATTATAAAAAGAAATCTGTTAGTCTGAAGTTCTAAGATGGGAAGAATTCAGGCTCAAAATAATCAAAATGTTTTTGGAGTGGCTTAGTCAAAGTCTGCTCTATAACTGATAGAGATGTTGGTGAACAAACACTTTTCACTGTGGCAGAACTAAAACAGTTCTGCTCTGTAAGTTGATGGCAGCAGCTGTAAAGAACAGACAGTTACCGCACCTTAATGATCAATGATTTGTTGTCAGTGATTCAAAATGCTCAGCTGAACCTGATTTTTAAAAGGCTGCTATCTAAAACATGTATCGGGGGGCTTTAAAAAGTTTGTCCAGAGAGGTCAGTCATGTGTGGGAGGCATTGTTGCTGTAGCGATTCCTCATTTATCCTGTTCCCAATTTTTTATTTGCTTCAGCGCTTGGCATTCGCTCCGTCATCCCCAACTGTGTCATAATGAGCGGCAGTGTTCGGGTCCAAACAGAGCACCAGTGTCCTTTCTAATGACTCGCTGTACCTGCTGGGCTTTGAACCCACGGCTCCGGTTTAAAAGAACTCACTAGATTTATCTGTAAATGTAGCTTTACGGCAAAAACAAAGAGAAGAGATGGCTGATTTCACTTTGAAGCTGTTCCTTCCTTTCTCTATTTTTTGCTCAAGGGTTTTTAGTCAGAGCTGGCAGTCTGGTAATGATTTGGCATGTGGCCTTTCTGGTCCCCTGTAGATCTGGACTTCACATGTTCTAACTCCAAACTTTGTGTCTTTGGTCCATGTAGAGCTCCTATCTCAGTTGTCAGGGGTGCGGCGTTCAGCAGGAGGCCAGCTTAGCTCCGGACCTTCCGCCTCACAGCTCCAGCAGCTTCAGATGCAACTCCAGTTGGAGCGCCAGCAGGCCCAGGTGGCGCGGCAGCAGCTGGAGACGGCCCGAAACGCTAGCCGAGGCGGCGGCAGAGCAAACGCAATCCTAAACACAAATTCAACGGCTACAAACCCCAATCCCTCCGCCAACCACACCAACAACCCCAGCCCCCACCCAGTGCCAACTGAGCCCACCACACAGCACACTGCACACAGCTCCCAGTTTCTACTCAGCAGGTAGGACCCTCTGCATTGTCCTCTGTTTGTTTGTAATGTGCTGATGATACTCTGCAGTCCAAGGTGTCTGGATTAGGTGAATGAAAAGACCCTAAAGCCTTGTGTTGATCCCCTCAGGCTGAGCGAACCCCGGCTGTCTGAGGTGGAGCGGCAGGCTTGCGAGGCCCAGTGGGCCGACAGGAGCCTGTTTGTCACAGAGCTGCTGCTGTCCACGCTGCTTCCAGACGAGGACGCCTCGGCCTCCTCCTCCTCCGAAGAGGATGATTGTCACAGCTCGTTGCGGAACTTCGCCGACTTCAAGGCCATGGGTTGCGTCGAGGTCATGACGTTGGATGTGGCGTTGGAGAACCTAAACCTCAAGGAGATGAGCCCCGCCCCAAAGAAGATGAAACCCACGACTAAAGCGGCGTCAGCGAAGAAAGAGCCCCCTGCCCCGCCCCTTTGATGACATGGCCACTCCTACCCTACCCTTCAATCACCATTGTGACTAGCTGACTGCTCAGTCAGTCCAACTGCCAATGGATGACAAAAACTGCAGATCTTCTTGGCTTTTTTTGTTTGTTTTGTTTTTGTTTTCTCAGTGATTGTCATTTCAGCTCTGTCGCTCCCCGGCTCCACCCCATGTTTTACGTTGTGTACATTGAATAAAAGTAGTGAGACGAGAGAATGTGGAAGCAAGCAAGCGTGTTGGGTGTGTGAGACAAAAGAGAACTATATAAATATATTATTAAAAAACTCTATATGAAAGTTGATAATCAGTCCCACAAAACCCGTTTCCTCTAGCAGAGAGCATAGTTCCGCTGTTTTTAAGCGAAAACTCGTCATACACTCACAGAGGGAGAGGAGGCCGACTGGAATCCCTCCGCTTAATAAAAAAGGAAAAAACAAAACGCTGCTGTGTATTTATAGATGAATTAAAGTGCTTGGATGGTTTTCCACAACTTAAGCATGAGCTTAAATCACCATGTGCCCATTTTAAACTGCACAGTCACCGGATGGGGAGGTCTTTCTCTTGTTTGGACACCTTAACGGCGTTAAACTGTTGGGTGCCGCTTCACAACGCACACACTCTCTCACACAGACTGTTTGGTTAACTCTTGCATCAAAGTCTCAAGCCCCTCCCCTTCATGTGACGCCACCTGGCTTTATATCTACTGTGGGCACTTTGGTTTGAATTTGCATATCCAGTGTCCATTTATGTACACTACAGATGTTCTGCACAGAAGCGACAGCTCTGAGGCAAAAGAAGAAGCAATCTTTTGGTTGGGACTGTTTTTCTAAGAAGAAACATGAGCCCTGGTCTCTCAGTCTTTTACAGGAGATCAGATGCTTCTTTCTCCAGCTTCCTTGTGTTCTTCAAATTAATCTCATGGATTCAAAGATTTACTCATGTGACTTGAAGGAGAGGATCCTGTATTGCTCTTTCCATCAATCTCGAGTCCAAAAACGGTCTTTGTATGCCTCCACTGCTAAACTGAAGAAATGCAATGCATGTTTTTTGGCTTACAAAAAGAAGCCAAACGACAGGGTAAAACTTTTCAGTTTGGGAGGACAATAAAAATGTTTTTGGTTGAAAAGTAACTAACCCAAATCCTGCTGTCTGGTTATTTTGTTTTAGTCTTTTTTTTTTTTTTTTTTTTTTTGCTTTTTTCTCCCCCAGTTGCCTATTTTCTGGCAAGCATGTACAGAACAATGGTCTAAAAAAATAAACGCATACCTTCCAGGTCGAGTTGTAACTCATGCAGTCTTGTTATCCTCTGATGTACGTTGTCATTTGCTGCAGTCGCCTCATACAGTTAACCATCAATAACTCACCAGATTCTGAGTGAAAGATTGAACCTCATCTATATTGTTCTTAAAAAGCAGGAGTAAAAGAAACTGATGGATATTAAGCCTTTAATATTTGGGTGTGCAGTTAAGTTGATAGGTTTGAGTTTAATTTTTCCTGCCTTCAGGATGGATTTCACTTAGAAAACATCAAAATGAATATTTCTAAACTATCTTTAACTAATATATTTAAAAGTAAAATTTGGTAAAACAAAATTTAGCAAAACAAAGGTGCGGAAATGTATCTTTTTTTGTGTGACACTTAAATGTTTCAGGGTGAAACAAGATTTAGAGTAAAAGAAAATCTGTATAAATAGCAGATACTAAGCAAGTACATGAAATCCAAAACACAAAGACAATCTAAAGAAAATCTGTTACTAACAATAGCCTGGAGAGGGTTAAAATTTTAGACGTTGTGGGACTCTAAAGCGGTGTTTCCCACCCACGGTCCGTGAGTGCATTTCGAGGAGTGAATGAAAATAGTTAATCAGGTTACATAGAGCTAGGATCTCTTTTGCTTTGTTAGGACCCAATTGAAAAATAAAACAAACTTTTGTCAACCAAAATAAGTTCAGCTTTGGCACACATAAAAACCAAGCGGAGGAACAGACTGGATGTATATAGCCTGGTATCAGCTGTTTTTCACACTAAGCTCATCAAAGCAGCTCCGGTGTCTCAATAAAAACAAAGTTTAACTAATTAAGTCAGTCTGACTTTTGTTCTGTATTATGTTCCCAAATCATCAAGTTTAAATGTGATTATAGGGGAGTTACTCAGAGGAGCTCCAGTTTAATAGATAAGGATTAATATGATTTTAATTTCTATTCCTTGCTAACTTCCCAGCAACATATTTATGTTGTGTTTACTTTTTATTTTTTTTACATGGAAAGCATAAAATTATAAAAAAAAATGCTCAAATTATTATACAAGTTTATAGACGTTTCAGTTTTGGATGATCAATACTTTTACTGAGAGGGGTACTGATAGTAAGACAAAATGCCCAAAGAAGGTTGGGAAACACTGCTGTAACCACAGTGAGAGCTGTTATCTATGAATGAAGAAAACATGGATCAGAGGGAAATCTTTCCAGGAATGCCCTGGTGATCCACCTGGTGGTCACCAGATATCCAAAACCCTGCAGTCATTGGGCAAAACAGAAATATCTGGCTCTGCTGCTATACTAAAGTCAACCACAAAGCATGAAAATGCTCCATATTACACCAGCAAGGCCACAAAAATAAAAAACAAACCCCTTAAGACCTCAAACCCCTTAATAATTAAAAACTCTCTGATGCTCCACAATTAAAAGTTTTGCCAAAAGAGATGGGGCTAAAATTCTACCAAGGTTAAAAATCCCTGTGCCAGATATTACCAACCCTTAAAGGCACGACCAGGGGATGTTACACTTTTCAGGTATAAGTGGTTTGCATACCATTTTATGCCTAAACATTAGAGCCATTATTCAAAAACTGCAAATTGACTCTGCTAATTTTTGTTTGTATTTTTTTTCTCTCCAGTTATTAGTAAAGCTTGAATAAAGTGTAAAATATGATGTACCTTAGTGGTTCTCCATCCTGGTCCTCAGTACCACTGCCCATCAGGATTCTGCAGCACCTAATGGCTGCTGAAGATGTCACAATATAATCAGGGGTTCTGCAGCAGGGAGACATCTAAGGCATGCAGGGCGGTGGTTCTACTGGAACTACTGCTGCAGACTGAACTCCTGATTGTATCAATAACCAGCACAGAACCAGAAACAAGGATTGCAGAAGAAGCTGGCTGTTCATAAAGAGATTTACCCAAACTTATTAATAGAAAGTAATATCAAAAGAAAAATTGTTTGTACAAGTTAATGCAAAGGGATTACCCAGCATGTTGTGAGAACGGTGAGTTTTTAAAGAGATGTTACTCCACTTTCGTTTATACATATATTTCAGATAAACCAAGAGGATCCAAGTTTGCTGGGTCCTCTACATGGCTTGTGGCAACTGCAAAAAAGGTGTAGTGTTATGCAATATTGTTATAAAACAAAACGAATCTTGCCGCTCGTCCACAAAGACCAGAGTTAAAGTAACAACTGTCCTGTCGGAATGTTCTACCTGAGTGGTGGATCCATGGAGCTCCTCCAGAGTTACAGTGGACTCCTCAGATCAATAGCCTCTCAGTGCAGTGAGATCAGGTGGACGGCCATGTTCCCTTTGATTTTCAGGTTAATTAATGGACAGAGCTCTGTGAAATGTTGACATTTAAACATTTTGTTTCATAATTTAATAAATAAGAAAAGCCAGCAACACTTTTTAGATTTTTACATTTAAATTTGCATTCATAGAACATTAAAATGTCAAAGTTCGAGTACCGGTAGTATTTAACCAGAACGGGAAGTTTTATAGGGTTATAAAATAAAAGAAATTTTAAAAATGATCTGTGGTTTGTTTATTTAAATGAAATTAAAAGTATGAATTGCAATAATTGCTCTAAATCTTGAGCTGTACAATGGACTCCCTGATGGGAGCTTTTATATTGTGCAGGAGCCACAAGTTTATCACCAGCATAAAGACTTCCTGTCATCAATTAGGACAAACCACCAATAAACAAATAAATACCTTTTGCAAAATAAAAACAGCCCACTCCAGCATTCTGAACGGCTTTCTAAACTGCAGGAAGCAGGAGGTTTGTGGTTTCCATGTCTTTCTGGTTACTGATTTAACCAACAAATGGGAGCTATTATCCCATTAAATGAATGCTCTGTCACTTGCTTTGTGCAAGAATTAATCCAGCATTTGTTTACTGTTTTATTCTTTTGCAATACTGAGAGATTCTCTAAATTAAACCCAGCAGAGACAGATACTCTGCTGGGGAAGTAAGAGAACAATCTGTGCCAAGATCTAAATAAGAACAGCCTGAAAAGATGTGGCAGATTCATGGAGCCTCCATCTAAGTAGGTAGCTGCAGGAGACGGAGCGTATGTGAAGTGGAGGGCGGGGAGGAGGTGAGGAAACATGGGTAGAGTCACGTTATGATGTTTCACATGTGTTTAGATGTAAACAGCCCTCCTCAGCGTTTAGTGTTTTCAGACTTTCAGGCCTCTAAGCTGTTTACTTCAGTATTAAAAGTTAAAATGACCTCAACCTGGAGCAAAGACACAACTCTGCTAAATAACCCTGCAGTTTTAAATAAGCTTTCATCCTGATATTCATCAATTCATCCAGATTGCTCAGTATATCCTCTACATGTGGATCTAAACAGGGATAGGGATGAATTTGTAAAGAGATCTTAATTTCAGCGATCCTTAAGTTTCTTGTTCTGAAATGTGCTCACATTTTTTCCCATATTGATTGTAGTTTTGTATTTTTAAATAGGTTTATCCTAAACCTAATAGATATAAAGCAGACCGCATAGAAAATATGACTTTATTTTAACTTTCATACATTAAATAAGTTTTTTGTGAGATACTAAACTCTCTTTACCTTTTCACACTTTGTCCCATAACGAATACTAACCTCTGATGTATTCTAGTTGGATTCAACATACTTAAAAGACATTAAACACATCCCTTATACATGATCCCCTTAGGTTTTTATCTGACATGAGCTTTGTATTTTGTTTTCAAATACAAGTATAAAACCTGTAGGATGGGTTTTCTTAAGGAGGCAGAAGGTAAGATGGAGTTAAATAAAGGGTCATTCTGGGGTAAAACATGTTAAGGCCTTTAAAGGGGTTTATGTCCATTTTCCAGATTGATATACACCATAAAACACAGACAGAGCTATTGTGCAATAGTTGACTTCAGACATTTGAATTTAGAAAGCTTCCTGGAGGGGAAGTGAAACGTCTTCAAACCTTGGAAACCAAGTACAGTGGATTGTTTTTAAATTTTTACTGATTGACTTCAGTGGTTCATCAGGCATTAAATGCTGCAGAAACCCATCAACCCTCCCATCAGGTGTGTTTGGCAGCACAGACCTTAAACATGTAGGCCAGTGGGCCATGCAGACATGAAGGGATAAAGAACCACTTTATAATTATTCAATTTCATGCATTTGTAAGAATCTGCTGAAAGAAAAATATCCACGGGCTAAACCTGAGCTGTTTTGCAAAGAATAATGGGCATTTCAATGTCTCTAGTAGAGATGTACCCCCAAAAAAACATCTGAGGTAATTGCAGCAAAATATGGTTCCTTTAAGTATTGACTTAGAATTCTGGATGTAAATTTACCTTTGTATAATTTTTCCAAATACATACGTTGTGGTTGTGCAGTGATGTACTATAAAAAAATACATAAAAATAAAAACTAAAGAGATGAACTAGAGATTCTGAAAAGTATATATATATATATTATATACACTATATTGCCAAAAGTATTTGCTCACCCATCCAAATTATTGGAATCAGGTGTTCCAATCACTTCCATGGCCACAGGTGTATAAATTCAAGCACCTAGGCATGCAGACTGTTTTTACAAACATTTGTGAAAGAATGGGTCGCTCTCAGGAGCTCAGTGAATTCCAGCGTGGAACTGTGATAGGATGCCACCTGTGCAACAAATCCAGTCGTGAAATTTCCTCGCTCCTAAATATTCCACAGTCAACTGTCAGCT